CTACATGACTATCATGCTTCGAATGTTTGCTGTCTGCTAACTTTGTGCTATTATTTCATGCTATTTCTTTTTGCCAATAGTTTGGCCTCGCATGTCTAGTGTTTGTGCACTGTATCTATGTGCTGAGTTTCCTTCTTTGATTGACCTTCAATTTTGTGATTGATGTCAAACTTTTCCTTTGTGAAATTCCGATTTCACTCGCCTGTTAAGGTTAATTGATTTCTTTTCCTGTCTCGCCTTACTGAATTCTTTCCAAAATTAGTGTATTTCTGTACATAGACTCAACCTTTCAGAAACAGCCATGGCTTTTGGGAATATTTCTGTTTGAAATATTTCAGGAATATGGATTTAAAATAATCTGGGAAAGAAACCGGACCAGACCGGGTCGCGTCGCGGGTCATGAGTTATACTGGATTGGAACTTTGTTAATTAATTAAATAATTCAAAGGAATTTTGTCCAAAAAGATTAATCAATCAATATTTGACCAAATCCGAAGCCGAAGCTGAGCGAGCGAGCGAGCGGCGACGACGGTGCAAGGATTGCCTTCTTCTTAACTCTTTAAGAGCTAGAAGAAGAGCAATTGTATATATACCCCAAAAAATATTTTCTTCCTCCAATATGGGACAATGTCTTTCGCCAAGGAGGGAAACTAAAATATTTCATTTTCCCTCCATTTCCCATTCACCCTCTTTAAGTTAACTCAAGCTTAAAAAGCCCAACAATCCCCCACATGAATGGGGAATGGCTATAAAACAAAGGAATCCACGGATGCGTGTGTGTTTTACATACAAGAATTAATTGCATCTGGATAAGTACGTTTGAACTTTCCGTAGTAAACTTATATCGAATATATCTCGATCAATCGGTAGATTTGATATCTTTGAACCGTCGAGCTTTTTTGTAACAACATAAGTCACACAATAAACCCTTAACCATCTATGGTTCTCACGGTTATGTTCGTTTCATCCATGAACACCGCCTGGTTTCATGAGTGCTTAGAGAATGTGCCTTTTCTTTCATTCCCCATGAAGCAGCTTACGATTCACACTCAGATAGGTGATTTCTAAACATGTAATCCTATAGACACACTATCTGGTCATGTCCTGCCAGACTTAGCAAATCATTAAAAAACTTTAAGCTTTATTGAATCATCAAAAAGCCTTAATTCTTTACCTTGAATTCTGAACATTGTCTTCATCACGAGATTTGGGTTGAGTTATTTGACAATGTTGAACTGCCATTCGTAACTTTGTTTGATCTCTTTGAACCTAGCTCTTGGGATCTCCAGTCTGCTAGGTAGAGTTACCGCCATGATGACTTGTCCTAGGCCTTGGCCCCATTCCCTTCGATGATCTTTCAACTGCCTCTCTAAATAGGCCTTTTGTAAGTGGATCCGACATGTTATACGTACTCAATAGTGATAACACCACTAGAGAGTAGTTGTCTAACGGTATTGTGTCCCCGTCGTATGTGACGAGATTTTTTGTTATACATAACGCTCCCTGCCCTACCTATTGCCGCTTTATTATCAATAGCTCCTAAGTTTTTCATGTCGAATTTACTAGCCTACATGCGCTTAGTAGCATTTATATCTGCCATATATTTGCTCATTATCAACATGTCATCAACCTATAAACAAACAATGACTTCATGACCCGGAGTGTTTTTAATGTAAACAATTTATCATACTCGTTGATTTTAAATCCATTTGCCAACATTATTTGATCAAATTTGGCATGCCATTGTTTGGGTGCTTGTTTAAGTCCATAAAGCGACTTAACCAGTTTGCACACTTTATTTTCTTTACCCAGAACCACAAAACCCTCAGGTTGTTCCATGTAAATCTCTTCCTCCAATTCTCCATTTAGAAAAGCTATTTTAACATCAATTTGATGGATTTCAAGACCATACAAGGCTGGCAGAGCCACGAACACCCTAATAGATGTTATCCTTGTTACTGGCGAGTAAGTGTCAAAGTAATCAAGGCCTTCCTTTTGTCTATAACCTTTGACAACATGTCTTGCCTTATATTTTTCAATGGTGCCATCAACTTTCATTTTCCTTTTAAAGAACCATTTCGAACCTAAAGGCTTATTTCCCGGAGGAAGATCAACCAATTCCCATGTATGGTTATCCAAAATTGATTGAATCTCACAAGTGACTACCTCTTTCCAAAATGCTGAATCAGAAGATGACACAGCTGCTTTAAAAGTTTGAGGCTCATTTTCAAGCAAGAATGTCACAAAATCTATTCCAAAGGAAGTATATGTTCTTTGACGTTTGCTACGCCTTGGATCTTCTACACCTGGAGTATTTTCCTTTGGTTTTTCCCGTAGTCGTTTAGGTCTTTCACTTAACAACTCGCATTCAGTTTTATACGGATAGATGCTTTCAAAGAATTCAACATTATCTGATTCCATTACCGTATTAACATGAATTTCGGGATTATCAGATTTATGAACCAAAAATCGACATGCTTTACTGTTTGTAGCATATCCAATAAAAACACAATCCACAGTTTTTGGTCCGATTTTTACCCTTTTAGCAAAGGTATTTTGTACCTTTGCTAAACACCCCCACACTTTGAAATATTTCAAGTTGGGTTTTCTTCCTTTCCATTTTTCGAATGGAATATATTGCGTTTTGCTATGGGGTATTCTGTTGAGTATTCGGTTAGCTGTAAGGATAGCTTCCCCCCACAAACTTTGCGGTAATCCGGAACTTATTAATAAAGAATTCATCATTTCCTTTAATGTCCGATTTTTCCTTTCCGCAATTCCTTTGGATTGAGGTGTGTAGGGTGCAGTAGTTTGATGGATAATTCCATATTCCGAACATATTTTGCAAACGGAGATTCATATTCTCCACCCCTATCACTTCTAATCATTTTGATCTTTTTATTCAATTGATTCTCTACTTCATTCTTGTAATGCTTAAATGCTTCAATTGCTTCATCCTTACTATTAAGCGAATAACATTACAATATCGAGTGTAATTGTCAATAAAAGTTATAAAATACTTTTTCCCACCTCGAGATGGAGTCGACTTCATATCACAAATGTCCGTATGAACTAAGTCTAAAGGATTTGAATTCCTTTCAACAGACTTATAAGGATGTTTTACGAACTTAGATTTAACACATATTTGACATTTTGATTTATTACACTCAAATTTAGGAAATACTTCTAAATTAATTAACTTCCGCAAGGTTTTGTCATTGATATGTCCTAAACGAATATGCCATAAATCATTTGACTCTGATAAATAAGAAGAAGCTAAAATTTCATTTACACTGTCAACAACCATTATATTTAGGTATTAGGATTAACAAGAACGCATTTATAATTCCCGTATAATAACCAAGCAAGGCGATTTTAGATATATTCCTATCCTAACCGCAAATCCGCCCCCCCCCCCCCCCACCTCAGAGTTAGGATCTTGTTCTACTCAATCTTATATGCAATCTAGAATTCCCTCTCCTGAGTTCAATCCTAGATTCGTAGATAGTATTCAATTGGTGATCAAGCAATCAAATAATTAAGCGCAAGATTGAATAAATAAACCAATATGATAAATAATAAGAACAATTCAAGTTTCAAACTACAACGTTCATGTAGCACCCAACAACTCTAGAACTAATGAACTCTGAAATTAAAGGAAGAGAAGAGAAGAAAAACTAGCTGAAAGCTTCCTCCATGCGTGGTTTTTGTTACTCCACGTGAATTCTCCTTCAAAGTATGTTCGATTTCCTCTAAATTAGGTTTAGAACCCCTTTTATACGAGTTGGGATCGTGTAGGGCCATAATAACCTTGTCCCGGACGAAGAAGGAAAAATCACGTACCCGTGTCCAGGCCAGCGCCTAGCGCTAGACCTGGCGCCGAAAGCAGAATATTTTTGCGTTCTTCAAATCCCCTCTTCACCTAGAATTGTTTTTCCCTTTTTATTGTCCACACCTGGGGGAAAAAAAAACCATAAAGGTGTCCCCCCTTTTCTCCTCCTTTATTTATTTATTTATTTATTTATTTTTGTTTTCCTTCTTTTTTTTTCTTTCGCGTTTTATTTATTTCTTGCTCCAAAATCTCTTCATCTTCATACTGCTTTATCCTACACAGTTAAAATATAATATTAAGCAGAAAGTACTATAATTAACACTCAAAAGACAATAAAAAAGTACTAGAACATGAGGCAACAATGGAAAAATATATGCACCTTTGGCCGAACATCAGCTATCAGCTCAGCGGAAGGTGTTGGTGCACTCCACTTGCTCTGGAGTTCCCTATTTGGTCAATATGATTTGGACATGTATTGATTGGTATGGCAGGGCCCTGTTCCAACCTTTATGTTGTTTATATACTCTTAGAGGTTTGTAGATGGATGTCATGTATATAGATACATGTATGGCCTTGTCGGCCTATGTTTTGAGTATACAAATGATTATGTCGGCCTTATTGTCCCGTATGTCACATGTATAAGTTTCTATATCATGTTGGGTCGGCCAATCTCTAGCATTCTCTTAAGTTTTATTCCGGTTATCTCATGATGGCCCTTCTAGCCCATTTACCCATAATGGTGTGATAAGAAAGATACATTACGTTGGTACTCGGTTGAGTAAGGTACCGGGTGCTCGTCGCGGCCCTGCTGTTTGGGTCGTGACAAAAGAAATTAAAAAATTAAAAAAAAAAAAAAAAAGAAGCAGTTTGGCTGTCGAACTAGGCAAAGTATCACAAGGCGTAAAAATTCGGCACCTTTTAGAAGAATGATAAATATACTTGGGAAAGCCTAAAACCTCTTGTTATTAATAACTATAGTTTAGAAATTAGGCAAAGCCGCTACTAGGGTAGTTAATTATTAGTTCTGTTTATATTTATGTCATTCGTTTTTATTGGTATTGATGAGCAACGTTCCATTACATGAAGAAACCACGTGAATGTTTATTTCCTCATTGGTTTCCTAAATTTATTCTAGATGTGAGTAAACCCTAAACCCTAAATTATATAAAACTTTGTGTTATTTTTTTTGATAAAACAGCAACCAGACACATCAGGGGCTACTTCGGTCATTTTTCTCCAATAAAACCCCCTGTTTCACCAGCCTTGTAGGTGTTCGAATTCACCACAGCGAATATTCCATTAACTCCACTCTCTTTTCTTAGGGAAAAAAATAATGGCTTCTCTCTGTGTAAATTCTATAATTTCCTTGAGCACTTCCCTTTCATTACATTCTAAAAACCCACTTATTCACAGTGTCTTCAGTTTCACGCCTTCAACCACAAGGCATTCAGCTATATGCTGCTCAAATATTCGTCGGAGGCCGGAGTATAAACATGGAAAATTCTCTGACCCTGATTATGTTGGTATTTTCGACACCACTCTTCGCGATGGCGAACAGGCCGCTGGTGCTACCATGACTAGTAAAGAAAAACTGGACATTGCACGTCAGTTGGCTAAGCTTGGTGTTGATGTTATTGAGGCCGGTTTTCCATTTGCCTCTGTAGCTGAGTTCGAGCTTGTAAAGTTGATAGCACAAGAAATTGGTAACGTTTAATGTTTGACCATTTCATCTAAAGATCTACAATATTTACTTATTTGTACCATGTGTCAAGATGACTCGTCACGTGTTTGTTTGATTCTTTTTATGTACCAAACATGCAAAGATATTTTTAGATATTTGGGTGGCAATGAGATTTAAAACTAGGACCTCTTGCTTGATACAATATTGAAATATATAACCATTTTATCTGGATAGTAGCATATTTTTTACTTTATTTTAATTATACTATATTCCAACAGGTAATAACGTAGACAAGGAAGGATACGTGCCGATGATTTGTGGCTTAGCTAGGTCTAGTAAGAAGGATATTGAAAGAGCTTGGGAGGCTTTGAAATATGCAAAGAAACCAATGCTTCATATGTTTATTGCGACGAGTGATATACATATGAAGTACAAGTTAAAGATGAGTAGAGAAGAAACTGTGGAGACAGCTAGGAGTATGGTGACTTATGCGAAAACCCTATTTGAGGATGTTCGATTTAGCACTGAAGATGCTGCAAGGTTCGCAATTTTTACACTTTAATTTCCTCGGATCAGTATAGTCTGGATGAAATATTTGGATAGTTGTAGTTTCTCGAAAGATTGATTTATGTTTCTTGTTTATTCGTATCAGATCTGATAAAGAGTTCCTTTATCATATTATCGGAGAAGTTATAAAAGCTGGTGCAACAGTTATTGGCCTCCCTGATACAGTTGGATGCCATTTGCCCAGTGAATATACACAACTGATTTCTGATATAAAAGCCAATACCCCAGGAATACAAGATGTAAACATTTCAACACACTGTCACAACGATCTTGGTCTTGCTACTGCCAACACCTTAGCTGTATGTGTTCGATTTCTTATGTGACTAAATACTAGTTATATATTATACCGGCTTAAGTTATAATATTGAAGTGTGTGTTCAATTTTAGGGAATTTGTGCAGGCGCAAGACTAGTAGATGTTACCATCAACGGAATTGGTGAAAGAGCTGGAAATGCTTCTCTGGAAGAGGTGCGTGAGGCCTCAATTTTTTACCAAATTAAAAAAAAAAAAAAAAAAGAGTGATCTCTATAGTGTTCTTTTCCCATTATTACATATTTTTTCTCGAGGAAGCTCTAGAATTTCATTGATTGAATTTCATAAGAGAATATTTCAAGAACTTTATGAAGATAGAATTAGGTCAAGAGTGTAATAGTAAAAAGTAAAAGAGAATCTAAACTCTTTTAGCAGTTTTGGTACTTAATTGTCTAGTCCTTTTTTATTGGCTTTAACTTAAGCCGCCTAGAGATTATAGAGGTTTGGCATATACCCCTACAATATAAATTCTTATTTATTTGCTTGGTCATCGCATCGATTTCGATTTGTTTAGTATATAGGGTAAAATCGGTTCACATTAAATACTCAAATGATAAAGTGACACGTGGAATCGGGGACAGACGGAAGACAAAGCAAGTGGAACCAAGACCGAGGGCAACTCCTTCGATATGCATTGGGTTGAGCCCGAAGGGGACATTGCCAATGGCAAACCAATATTTGCCACCAGATGACAATTAATGAAGAATATTCCTCAGTATTAAATGCACATTCGTTATTTGGCATTCATAGCTTGTTGTTACATATTCAGCAATGGCCCCCATTATTCTCATTTAAGAGGGGCTTGACACTATGACATTGTTCCTTAGGTATAGCTATAAATAGTGACTTCAACCGACACGAAATTTCTGGCNCATTATCTGATTCCATTACCGTATTAACATGAATTTCGGGATTATCAGATTTATGAACCAAAAATCGACATGCTTTACTGTTTGTAGCATATCCAATAAAAACACAATCCACAGTTTTTGGTCCGATTTTTACCCTTTTAGCAAAGGTATTTGTACCTTTGCTAAACACCCCCACACTTTGAAATATTTCAAGTTGGGTTTTCTTCCTTTCCATTTTTCGAATGGAATATATTGCGTTTTGCTATGGGGTATTCTGTTGAGTATTCGGTTAGCTGTAAGGATAGCTTCCCCCCACAAACTTTGCGGTAATCCGGAACTTATTAATAAAGAATTCATCATTTCCTTTAATGTCCGATTTTTCCTTTCCGCAATTCCTTTGGATTGAGGTGTGTAGGGTGCAGTAGTTTGATGGATAATTCCATATTCCGAACATATTTTGCAAACGGAGATTCATATTCTCCACCCCTATCACTTCTAATCATTTTGATCTTTTTATTCAATTGATTCTCTACTTCATTCTTGTAATGCTTAAATGCTTCAATTGCTTCATCCTTACTATTAAGCGAATAACATTACAATATCGAGTGTAATTGTCAATAAAAGTTATAAAATACTTTTTCCCACCTCGAGATAGAGTCGACTTTATATCACAAATGTCCGTATGAACTAAGTCTAAAGGATTTGAATTCCTTTCAACAGACTTATAAGGATGTTTTACGAACTTAGATTTAACACATATTTGACATTTTGATTTATTACACTCGAATTTAGGAAATACTTCTAAATTAATTAACTTCCGCAAGGTTTTGTCATTGATATGTCCTAAACGAATATGCCATAAATCATTTGACTCTGATAAATAAGAAGAAGCTGAAATTTTATTTACACTGTCAACAACCATTACATTTAGGTATTAGGATTAACAAGAACGCATTTATAATTCCCGTATAATAACCAAGCAAGGCGATTTTAGATATATTCCTATCCTAACCGCAAATCCGCCCCCCCCCCCCCACTCCCGGATCAAAATCTCACCTACCAACCGGAATTCACCAAAATACTAACTTTGCCAATTCAAGCCTAATTCTACACCGGACCTCCAAAATCACTTCCGATCACACTCCTTAGTCACAAATCATCCCCCGAAGCTAACCGGATCACCGAAAATCACATCCAAGCCCTCTAACTCATTAGTCAACATCCGGTTGACTTTTCCAATATAAGCCTTCCTTAAAGAGACTAAATGTCTCATTTTCTACCAAAACCAAACCAATTCGACTCTAACTCACCAAATGCCGATAATGGAACATGAAGAAGGAATAAACGGGGAAAACGGGGCGGTAACACATGAGACGACGGGTCGGGTCGCCACATCCTCCCCAACTTAAACAAACGCTCGTCCTCGAGCGGGTCAAGAAACATACCTGAAGTCTCAAATAGGTGATGATATCTGCTCCGCATCTCCTGCTCGGTCTCCCAAGTAGCCTCCTCCACGGGCCGACCTCTCTACTGCACCTTCACCGAAGCAATATCCTTTGATCTCAACTTTCGAACCTGACGACCCAAAATAGCCACTGGCTCCACATCATAGGTCAAGCCATCATCCAACTGAACCGTGCTGAAGTCTAACACATGAGACGGGACCCGCACCTACTTCCGAAGCATAGAAACATGGAATACCGGATGAACCCCCGACAAGCTGGGTGGCAAAGCAAGCATATAGGCCACCTCCCCAATCCTCCTAAGTACCTCAAAAGGCCCAATGAACCGCGGACTCAGCTTCCCTTTCTTCCCAAAACCTCATATCGCCCTTCATGGGCGAAACCTTCAGCAAGACCTTCTCGCCCACCATATAAGATACATCTCGAACCTTCCGGTCCACATAACTCTTCTGACGCAACTGAGCTGTACGAAGTCTCTCCTGGATCACTTTCACCTTCTCTAAGGCATCCTGGACCATCTCTGTCCCAAATAGCCTAGCCTCGCCGGGCTCAAACCAACCAACTGGAGATCTACACCGTCTCCCAAATAAGGCCTCATATGGCACCATCTGAATACTGGATTGATAGCTGTTGTTGTAAGCAAACTCTGCAAGTGGCAAGAACTCAGCCCAAGAACCTCCAAAATCAATAACACAGGCACGCAACATGTCCTCCAATATCTGAATGGTACGCTCGGACTGCTCGTCTGTCTGAGGATGAAATGTTGTGCTCAGCTCCACCTGTGTACCCAACTCCCGCTGAAAAGTCCTCCAAAACTGGGAAGTAAACTGAGTACCTCTATCTGAGATAATGGAAACTGGGACCCCATGCAACCGAACAATCTCCCGGATGAAAATCCCTGCTAGCCGCTCCGAAGAATAGAAAGTACGCACCGGAATGAAGTGCGCGGACTTGGTCAACCGATCCACAATCACCCAAATCAAATCAAACTTCCTCGAGGTACGAGGGAGACCACTCACAAAATCCATAGTAATCCTCTCCCATTTCCACTCCGGAATATCCATCCGCTGAAGTACACCGCCGGGCCTCTGAAGCTCATATTTGACCTACTGACAGTTGAGACACCAAGATACATAACTCACAATATCTTTCTTCATTCTCCTCCACCAGTAGTGCTGCCTCAAATCCTGATACATCTTCGCGGCACCCGGATGAATGGAATACCGCGAGCTGTAGGCCTCTTCTAATATCAACTCCCGAAGCCCATCCACATTGGGCACGCAAATCCGGCCCTGCATCCTCAACACGCCATCATCATCAATAGTCACATCTTTGGCATCATCATGCTGGACCCTGTCGTTAAGGACAACCAAATGCGGATCATCATACTGACGCTCTCTAATGCGGTCATACAAGGAAGACTGAGAAACCACACAAGCCAACACCCGACTAGGCTCCGAAATGTCTAATCTCACCATCCGATTGGCCAAAGCCTGGACATCAACTGCAAAGGGCCTCTCCCCAACTGGAATGTACGCCAAACTACCCATACGAACCGCCTTCCGGCTCAAGGCATCGGCCACTATTTTGGCCTTCCCCGGATGATACGGAATGGTAATATCATAGTCCTTGAGTAACTCAAGCCACCTCCGCTGCCTCAAATTAAGATCCTTCTACTTGAACAAATGCTGGAGACTGCGGTGATCCGTGAATACCTCACAAGATACTCCGTATAAGTAGTGCCTCCAAATCTTCAAAGCATGAACTATAGCAGCCAACTCTAAGTCATGTACAGGGTAGTTCTTCTCATGGGGCTTAAACTGGCGAGAAACATATGCAATAACTCTACCCTCCTGCATCCACACACATCCGATCCAACTCTCGAGGCATCACAATACACTGTGTAAGAACCTGAAGCTGATGGCAATACTAGTACTGGAGCTGTGGTCAAAGTTGTCTTGAGATTTTGAAAGCTCTCCTCGCACTCGTCCGACCATACAAATGGTGCACTCTTCTGCGTCAACTTGGTCAAGGGCAAAGCAATAAATGAAAAACCCTGGACGAACCGGCGATAATAACCTGCCAAACCGAGGAAACTCCAAATCTCTATGGCTGAGGACGGTCTAGGCCAACTCAGTACCGCCTCTATCTTCTTCGGATCAACCCGAATACCATCACTAGACACCACGTGCCCCAGGAAAGCCACAGAACCATGCCAGAACTCACACTTGGAGAACTTTGCATAAAGCTATTCCTCCCTCAATCTCTGTAACACCACTCTCAAATGCTGTGCATGCTCTTCCTGGCTACGCGAGTACACCAAGATGTCATCAATAAAAACAATCACAAATGAATCCAGATACGGCCAAAATACACTGTTCATCAAGTGCATGAATGCTGCTGGGGCATTAGTCAACCCAAAGGACATAACCAGAAACTCATAGTGCCTATATCTCATCCGGAAAGCAGTCTTCATAATATCTGAATCCCTAATCTTCAGCTGGTGATAGCCTGAACGGAGGTCAATCTTGGAGAATAACCTTGCCCCCTGGAGCTGGTCAAACAAATCATCAATACGGGGCAGGGGATACTTGTTCTTCACTGTCACCTTGTTCAATTGCCTGTAGTCAATGCACATTCTCATTGTGCCATCCTTTTTCTTCACAAACAAGACCGGTGCACCTCACGGTGACACACTCGGACGAATAAACCCCTTATCTAGGAGCTCCTGCAGCTGATCCTTTAGTTCAAACAACTCTGCTGGTTCCATGCGATACGGAGAAATAGAAATGGGCTGAGTGCCCGGCACCAGATCAATACCAAAATCAATGTCCCTGTCCGGCAGGTCCGCTGGAAACACATCAGGGAAGTCCCTCACAACGGGAACAGAATCGAGACTAGGAGTCTCAGCTCCGACATCTCTCACGAAAGCCAAGTACGATAGACAACCTTTCCCAACCATCCGCTGGGCCTTTAGAAAAGAAATCACCCTGCTGGGAACATAGTTAGTCATACCACGCCACTCAATCCTCGGAACACCCGGTATGGCCAATGTGACTGTCTTGGCATGACAGTCTAGAATAGCATGGCACGTCGATAGCCAATCCATACCCAGAATAACATCAAAATCTACCATGCTCAACGGTAACAAATCAACTCGGGTCTCCAGACCCCCAATAGTCACTAGACAAGACCGATACACATGGTCTACAACAATAGTATCACCCACCAGGGTAGATACATGCACAGGTAAAGTAAGACACCCACGGGTCGTACCCAGGTGATGAGCAAAATATGAAGACACATAGGAATAGGTAGAAGCGGGATCAAATAGGACAGAGGCATCCTTGTGGCAGACTGAGATAATACCTGTGATAA